CAGTTTAGATTATACGTCAATTTTTACCTGATTTGAAATGACGTACGTGAGTTAAGAGTATTTTTTCAGTTTTGCGTGAACAGTTGCTTAGTTTTAAAAAGATAACTCTTTTCATTTTCACATTTGGAAGCACAAATGTTTTACAACTAGAGGTCAGTTTAAAATTTCAATACAACAAATCAATTTTAAAAAAAAAATGGTTCTGACATACCGTATTTCCTAGCATATTTTCCCCCTAGCCTTTTTACGCTATGTTTGAAAATTTTTAAACTTTCGCATAATTTTCCCCTTTCTCTGCTGTATATAATTTTTACCTCTGAGTTTTATGGTAATAAGTTTAATGATAAATTGTATTCCCTCTGTCATTTTTATTTTAATTCAATGCATTTATTCAGTTTTTATTTGCAATTTTGTATTGGTGTTTAATAAATTTTATTTTCCCTTGCAATTATTATTTGAAAAATATTTTGAGCAGATTCTTCGTTAAGCTACTAGAACGTATCCCTATCCGTACAAGTATAGATGATATAGTGCACGAAGCGCGATGTTTCCGGCTCGTGATAATAAAGCCCAATGGGCACATGACAGTAAACTAGGACGTGGCAGGTCTTCTCACATTTAAGGAACTTTCCAAGCCTTCGATTTCACTTTACTTTTGTTATTTACGTTCCAACTTATTGTAACCTTATGTATTCGAGTATATGCTGATGTGTTCGATCTTTCAAAATCTGCATCTTTTAGTCGCCTCACTTGTCTTTCGTTCCTTCGATGTTCTTCTTGAGAACTGCGATCCGACTCATACATGTGAGGTACCACTGGGGCTTTACAAGGTGTTTGAGCCCGAGTTGTCGCCGTCTGCGAAACGTTTTCAGCTCAGTTACCGTCAGATATCAGTCAATATCCGCCACATATCGTAATGCTTTATTGCTATGTATTGTTATTGGAACGTACGTTTCTTTGAAAGAAATCATATTGTGATAGTAAACAGTAGTTAACGTATGACTATTTTTCATTTGTGGTGTTCTTACTGTAACCGTGTTCTTTGTAAATTAAAGTACTCGCATAATTTTCCCCTCTCGATTTTAAGACGATAAAATTAGTTATACAAAGGAGAGAAATGCGCGAAGGAAGATGGTACATATTTCCCTTTCTTTTTTAACATGAAAAAAGATACCGATAGTTATGAAAATCAGTTTCCAGATGCCTTAATGATGTGGTGCAAAAACACTTCAGCTAAACATTCCATTCCTATTAGGCTCACTATTTCATACCGTCTAGTAAAACAAAAAGTTTCGAGAGATGACACAATAAAAAGACGGCGCAGTGGGGCAAGGAAATGAGCAGAAATAAATATAGAAAGTGTCTGAAACCTTATTATTGTGTCTTGCTTCATTCTAAAAAGTTATTTGGAGGAAACAATAGCAGTACCAAAAATATATAATGAAACTTCCAGACGATGTAGAAAATGTGTATAGTCATTTTAGGTATGGGTAGATAAATTACTCACTTCAAAGAGAAGGGAAAATATTAGGGATTGAGCAGAAAAAAATTCCCGATATGTCAGAATGCAGACATAGAGCTGCAGTCAGAGTTTCCAACCAAACATTAAGTCAAAAACTTCGTGCAAATCCATTTTATGAATTTTGTCTGAAAACAAGCAGACTGACTTCAGAACAAGTTTCTGAATTATTGTTTTCATCTTTGTCATCTCCTTAACAACGGGATGTGGGTCGCCTTTATATGTGTTCTAGAATAGTTGTCTCAAATTAATTTACGATCTGAAAGCAGCTGCGAGACCTCAGTTTTTTTTTAATAAAATAAAATACTTTTAACTAAATTAAAAATTTTATTTACTAAATATTCATGTACAATAAATGTTTAAAATTAATCACCTTTTTTTCCTTTCCATCTTCTACCTGCTACCACTACCCCTGACATTTCGGGTATAGGTTCCAGGCAATTCTTAATCCTTATGATGTGCCCTAGAAGTTTGTCGCAACATTTACGGTACACCCCGTATAATGAAAACCTATTTTTTTATTTTATTTATTTATTAAATTTTTCTCTGATGCATGTAGAAAAAATACGTACTTTTATACAGTAGAACTCGCTTATGATGAGCTCCGATTTAACGAGAATCGGGTTCATCGAGAAAATCGAAAATACTTGGTTGATACAATGTTAAGTCTATAGAAGCATAACTCGCTTTTAATGAGAAAACTCCTGTTATAGCGAACAATATTTTTGTGATTTACAAAATTTCTATTGACTTTAACCTCTCCAGCTCAGCTAATCTTTTCTTATTTCTTTTAACATTCCGAAGTCAAGCGATAGTGATGAGTCCTGCAAATACGTGACGGCGGCCTCCTTTACCTTGGGGAGTGATGAGAATCGAATTTTTATCACCGAATTCTACAAGTGTTATCCAGCTTGTAGAATTCGGTGGACCAACGGATCATCAGAAGTTTTAAATAAAACTTTCTTAAGCATTTAATTTTGATGCTTCTCGATAGAAGAGAAAAAACAGGAACAACCTCAAATGCTAATGTCACGTACTTCTAAGCGATATATTTAATGAAATATGCATGGGAAAACGTTACATCAACATGCATTATCAATTGCTTCCGTAATGCTGGACAGGACATATCTCAAGAAGGGCAAATCACTGAGAAAGAAGTAGACGTCTTGGAAAATTTGGAAAAGAGTAGAGAAGAATTTGAAAATTATATATCTGTTGACGCCAATGTTATCACTTCTCAGATCCCAACTCTCGAGGACGCTGTAGCTGAAATTCAGGCTAAAGCAGATAAAAAAAATAATGAAAGCGATGATAATAACGATGAAAATGAAGAATTTCAACTTGAATCTTCCTCGATCTACTCAATGGCTCTTGATTGCTCAGAAAACCTTCCAAAGCCAGGGGTGCAAATGACGATGTTTTTCGGACCATGAGTCTTCTCCGAAACATAATAACACAAAAAAGAGACAACAAAGCAGTTCAAAGCAAATTAGCCAACTACTTGTGTACTGTATAGAAATAAAAAATAAATAAAGTTTATATAATATAGTAAGTATATAAGAATTGTAAGAATTGGAGGCTGCCTTCAGCCCACCTGAACACGAGTGTCCCCATAGCTCAAAAGAACGGGCCTCGTATCTCCACAAATGAGGGCTTCCAGTAAATATGTATATATGAATTCTTATGATTTTATCCACAGTAAGTATGTATAAATTTTTATGTTTTTTTTTTTTTTTTTTTTTTTTTTTACGAACCCGTTTTTTACGAGCACTCGGTTATAATGAGCAAATATCGCGCGCCTTTCACGCTCGTTATAACCAAGTTCGACTATATATATATAAATAATTATAAACCTTCTTATTTCGTATTATTACACCTTATTACTTTTTGGTTTCAATAAAACTTCTAACCTTGGAGAAAAATTACTGCATCATGAATCAGAGATGCTCATCGGTCAATCTGGTTCTTTTTTAGATTTATTAATTTTCAGCTGTGGAAAAACAAAACCCTTCACATATAAATGCACTCCCAAACGAAGCCATTATTCTTATTACAAGCATTTATAAATGAAGTTAAATAATTATCTTACAAGGACGAAAAAAGTTAATCTAATCTTTATCTTCATATCGGTGTATAAGATTTGTATCACAGTGTAAATTAATTACAGCCGGCGCAGCTTGATGTGATCGCTTTAGTCCAACAGCAATTTTTACAACTTAAGCAATGTTAATAGAATTATAACATTAAACGATGAAACATATTCTTCAAAATAGCAGTGGTATTAAAGTAATTTAATAAAATACACGAAGAAACATATAAATAATCACTCTCTCAGTAAAATCCAAAAAAAATGTTTTTACCAACTGTTCATAATGTTTTTAATACATTAGTTAATTTATGAACTATTCATAATATTTCTGAAAATTATCTAAATAATGCTGCGCCCTTAATCTGAATATTAAGAAGGCATCTTCGTTCACTGGAAGAGAACATGCAAATGTAAAATTTAATGTTAGGCAAAAAAGCAACCTTAGTGTGGAGTAGATATTTTTAAGGGAATTTTCTTCCCTTCCCATTTTTGTCTCCCCCTTTTCTTTCTGTAATATATAGTAAGGAACAGGGTAAAATTCTGCGGAAATGTTTTTGCTTCTGAAGAAGAGTGACTCGAGTCTCATCATCGTCAAAATCTATACAGCTAATTAAATATAATTTAAGAGACATATGTCTAATCCTTGGAAATTTTTATAATCTATTTTGAACTTCTCTGACGACTTTACTTCAATTTAAAGAATTATTTAATAATACTTTGATATCATTAACCGAATTGTTGATTACAATAAGCGATACATTTTCCATGTTTTCTTATACAAACAGGTTCGATAGCGTTTCGGTGCTTCAATAGCAATATCCAAGTGATAAGAATAACCGCGATCTCATTAAACGGCATCTATTGTATACTAGTAGTTTCTTAAATTTTAAAAAGAAACTGCCCTACAAATCTTATAAAAATTTGAAAATCTGAGATAAGTTTTAAAGTCATGCAGAACGTAGCAGATCTAGGAAGTACGGTGTTTCAAAAACAGATTTTTCAGAATTAGGACAAAATTACATAATGAATTTTGATTCAAAACCATGCAAAGGCAGAATCCAGGGAAATAAGTATGCTATAAGCATGACGTTAGCTGAGGACGTAGATAGACAATTAAAAGCTTTGGGCTTTAAAAATAAAATTACTATAATTTACCTGTATAAAAGTATTACTTTCCTACTTCTGACTCTCAGCAGCTGAAATATGAAATCTTCATTGTTCCTACAAGTATGAGAATAACGCAGTAAAAATTATGTATCTTTTCATTGGATTCGCCAAGTGATTAATTGTTTCAAGTCTATTTTAGCTTTTAGTGCATCCAATCCGTTTCATTCCGTTTTAGCAAGCTATCTAATAGCTTTTAGTGCATCCAATCAGACTGCGGATTTATGGAGGAAAAACATCTGCCACACGTACAAGAGAAATGAAAGAAATTGGAAAAAGAAAAAGCTTTTATATGAAATTCAGCAGCTGGTAACTAAAATGAACTTCTGGATGTAATATATAGTTGGGATTATGCATAATTTACTTACTTTAAGATTTAAAAGAGACGTTTGGCAAGCTTCATTAGCTTGTTAGATGATTTTAAAGACAAATTTAGAATTTTGAAAGAAATTTAGGTACAAACTTTGTAGATCGTCCAGTTTTACTGAATATCTTTCAATATGACTATCCAAAAGAAATTTTAGTCATTTTATCTTAAAAAATAAATAAAATTTAACACTGAAAAATGAATGGTGGAGTGATCCCAGTACGTCTTGCAAAAGAATTAGGTTAACTTTCTAAGAAATCAGGTAAGAATATTACTCAAATGTATTCAAACTTTCAGCAAAGCATAATTAATTTTTAAAAATTGATCTGCTGATTTTTCATAGGTGGAACATTCTATCTCGTCCAATTGAATTTCTTTTTTCTACTCATTTTGTGAGGTATCTTTTCCCTCCTTACCGCGTGCCTTCGTGATGTAATTGGAAAGCACGCCCAGCTAGAAATCGGAACGTTCAGAGTTCGAGACCGACGAGAGCATTATACATTTTCCACGTCTCCTGTTTCAAAATAAAATGTTTAACGTGTGTTTGTGTGTGTGGGGGGGGGTTGAGCCGTACTTTTTAATTGAACGCTAACGAATGCAGATGGCATGCTCGGCCATCGTGAGCGATTAACGGCATATCTTCGTAACCGTTAACCGTTCATCAGATGTACAATTGTTGAGGTTTCAATATGTAAATGATGATGCTCTTGGCAGTTGGCGGTTAAATGTGAAACAAGCACAGCCGCCGATAAACGGCGAAAGAATTATAGCTGCTTGAGCTGGTAATTGACAGGCAGAAATACAAGGTGATCATAAAAAAAAAAAAAAAAAACTTTCCCGATATATGAAACCTTAGCGACCTATCCGCCCAACCAATCGAAATGAAATTTCAGGTATTGTTATTTGAAGTTATGAGATAATTTAAAACAACAGAGCTCTCACGGTTACGGTTACAATGAAAAAAATTTGTGAATTATCAAAATGCAACATCTATTTTTTCCTGCGCAATTGATCAGCGCTGTTAAAAACCATAAATGGTGTTGGAAAGATATACGTAGAGCGACCGTTGCTGGCGTAAAACCTTTGCAAAGAAGAGCATTGTCATGAACCAATCACAGCACAAGAAAGGCGAAAGAAAAAACTTTTATACGAATTACAAGTTTTCAATGTATACAACGTTTCAAAATAGAGTCATCTCCCGTAACTTTACAGTCTCATAGACAACGCGATCCCTCAACTTACTCCGATGGATTTTTCTGGTTCCGGGATTATTTGAAATCTAAGGTATGCACATGAAATCCACGAGATTTGTCAGAATTGAAACATGCCCTAAAACGTGACGTTATACAGATTCCTTCTGAGATGTTCCGTTCGTTATTGTTGTCAACGATCTCTCGCACGCAATGCTTTATCGTCTTGAAAGCTTGTTAATTCCAATAAAAAAAAATCCCCTCTCCTTTCTTATCATTGGTTCTTTGCAATGTTCTCCTTTGGAAATGTTTTCACCCCTACAATTTTCATCATACGTTTATCGTCCCAACGCCATTTATGGTTTTTCAATACGTTGATCAATATGCGCAGAAAAAAAATGGATGTTGTCATTCGAAAATTTCGAATTATTTTCACTGTAATCGTAATTGTGAAAGCTCTATTGTTTTAACTCATCATATTCTCGAGCGCATGGTTTTTAAATAGTAATATCTGAAATTTCATTTCGATTGATTGAACGGATTGGTCGCTAGTGTTTGATATAGCAGGATGTTTTTTTTTTTTTTTTTTTTTTTTTTTTTTTTTTTTTTTTATGACTATTCAGTATATAGTTAACAGGAGGCTATGAGCTGAAAATAAATTCTTTTATGATGCTCAACTGAAGGGATATTTCTTATTTAAGATAAAGGCCGTTAACGACAGGATGACACATATTATTATAGTATAAGATTCCTGTTACATCTTCGTAAAAGCAATTTCCAATTTTTTATTCGTATACTCCTCGTTTTAATTTTATTCAGCTGTGGAAAAAAATTCAGATCACCCGATTTTCTTTTTATCTAATATAGGTCACAGTGCGCCTTATGAAAACTCATGTTCTGAATTTAATTCTTAAAAAAATGACTGTAATAGAATATTCTTGGAATTTGCATTTATTATAGAAGCTCCATTTTGGGTGAAATCGTGACTTTAAAAATACATGTTTTGAGCAATAAAACTGGCATAGTTAGTTCTCAACTTTATTCTCCAAAATAAAAAAAAAGTCCATTTGTTAGTAAAAACTCTTCAAGTCAATAAGTAGTTTAAGCACATTTGTGAAAGAAAAAGTTTCAATTTATGTAGAATGAAACAATGAGATAAATTGGTTTAGTTAATAAAAAATATATTTATGCAAAATTGTACAAAACCTGCTTCATTCGGGTCAAAAAGGGATCAGGAAATGACATTGAAGGAATTCTAATCAATAAACATGTTTGCAAATCGTACATTTTTTTGCAACCTTTGTATTCTTTAATAGAAAACATAATTCAAGAAAATAACAGTAGTAAATAAATTCCAGGAGCAAAATCCACTGGGAAACATATGCTATTTGAAAACAGCTTATTTATCATACTGGGCTTTCAGACTGGAAAGAGTTTTTGGCCTCCCGCCAACCTATATACATATGTAAGGGAGGTCATGTTTTCAGTGAGTAAGCGAATTTTTAGTGAGTAAATACGAAATAGGTCCCCATACTTTTTACTATTTTTACCAGTTTTTACTATTTTTACAATGATGTCTTATTGTGTGTATATATGTATTTCGTCTTCTTATATCTTTTCTTCTTAGAAAAATTTGTTTTTCGTATTTAAGCTTATTGGATTCATATAAAGAACTGACTGAAATTTGGGTTAAATTGGACACCCGGAAGTTGTAGTTTAGTTAAAGGCCGTAACAGGTTTTCAGAAATCAACATAATTTATTGTTGTATATATATAAACCCTTCATATCTAATAATATATTGTTGCATTTGAACGAGCATTGTTTACTGATACCTAAACAACGCATGGATATATATGCAGATAGATATGAATTTATGTTTGATGATATCATAGAAATGACATAGAAGAAAATTAAATTATGGTACTCGTTTCAAAGTATTTATTTTAAATATTAGAGATATTTAATATATTACGAACACTTAACTTAAATTAAAAACCAGTTAAATTATATGTTATTCAATAATATTATTAATTAAAAATACACGGACCAACATTTGATTATGCTGATATAAATTTAGAAAAACCAGTTTTAACACATGGTCAGTTATATCTAGTAAAATGTAATTCAAAATATCGTATTACAAATATTTCTATTTATCGGAATGGCAGACTAGATTTAGTTTGCAAACTATCAGCCGGAAGTAATACTTTACTTAAATTCCATTGCTATTTAAAACATGGAACTAGCAGAAGTTATGCGACCACATCAAATATTTTTATTTCTTCGTATGCACAGCAATTTTTTTTTTCTCCACACAGAGTGTAAAAACGAAATTTGGTATATCATGTAAAGCAGTGGTTCCCAATTTTTTTTTGGCCCACTGCACCCTTTTCACCATTTCTATATCATTCCGCCTTCTTTAAATAAATTGAATTCAAAATTTGAATAATATTTTAAAATTATGTTTTTACTTCCTTGTACGAAGTAAAAAGGAAGTACTGTAATCACGAAAAATTTCGGGTGTCATATTTCAACGAAAATATCCATTTTTGACCGTTATCGAATGCAACTTAACGATGCTTTTGCGTGACATCTCTACGTAAGGACAGAATAAAAAACTCTTTTCCCCCCAAAAAAATTATAAAACTGATTTGAAATGAATTCTGAAGAGATTTTTTCGTATAGTCTGTACGTACGTATCTCGCATAACTCATAAACGAGTAGAACGTTGAAATTTTACACATAGGACTGCTATAACATGTAGATGTGCACCTCTCATTTTGGTTTCAATCGGCCTCACCAAAAGTGTATATATATATATTATATATATATATATATATGATATAAAATGAATGACTTGGAGCACGGCGGTGGCGTAATAGATGAGTAGCGAAGAAACGTGGCAAAGCAAACATGTCCCGATTCAAGATAACTTTATTATTGAGGAAAACAAGTCAGAATTCGCAATATTTAGTTCACATACGGACGAGCGTCTTATGCGCTCTATATTTTTGTTAGATCAGCACATATTCCTTGAACAAAGAAGGTAGCTGCGAAGCTTTTGGCCTGGAAGAAAGCTTAAGCGAAAGTGACTCATAAGTTCATAGAAAGAAGTGAGGGAGTCAGTTTTTAGTTATGGTTTACAATTCGGTGATTGGTCAAGAGGCATCTGCATTTAACGGTTCCGCAAGATCGCATGATTAATTTGAATGACGCAGTTTAGACTTAAGCGCTATTTTTAGGACAGATAGATGAAGTTCCCAAATGAAATAGAAAATAAAAGAGCTTATAGTGAATTACTCTCTTACTCGGCTCAGTGAGCTCAGTTTTTTTATTCTTATATGCTTGTAAATTGTGCCTTTTTTGCTTTAAAAATGATTGAATAATGTTTTTCTTATCATCCGGTTAAGGTTTTTATGCCTCTATTTAACCTGCATGTTGTAATTGTAGAATTATCATCAGTTGAAAAGTTGTTTAAGTGTGGCTAAGCCTAATTTTTTTACCATAGCGGCCATATTTGTTTACATTTGAAATGTAGCAGAATAGTTGATTTGTGCCAATCTAGAGAAACGGAGCTTCGTAACAACAAAGTAACGTCTTCTTTTATTATTGCGAGTTAAATTATGCTTAATTCATTCTGGAATTAACATTTAAGTTATTAGCTTTTTTAGGCGTAGAAACTGTAATTTTAATTGTAAAAATTGTTTTAACTGTATTTGGTGTTTTATGTTTTTTTGTAGCTTTCAAATTTTAATGAAAATATTTTGAGTTTTTATGTATTTTTGCCTTGCCGCGAAGTGCGAACTGAATTAATTAGTAGTGCATGCGCATCAGGTAAGCGGCGCTGCATCATCTGCGAAAAACTATTTCTTCTTTATTTGTTTAATTTCTTTTATACACCATTTTAGATTTAATATAGTATTTGAATAGAACTTGTGTTAATTCTTTAGATGATATAATTTTTGTGCACTCTGAGTTATAAAATGAATGTTAATGCTGTTAAGTGAACGTAGCGCCGAAGTATCGCTATGGTAAATAAATATAGTGAACTTTAAAGAGCGCATGTATTTT